AAGTTTTTTAGATTTCGCAAAAACCGGAATATATGTGATAGTACTTATCACCTTCTACCCACAACCTAAACTTGAGATTGATACCTCTTTTTTGGCGAAGTTATAGCGGAAAAACTGTTCAAAATTGTTGACGTCAAATTTTCAAACTCAATTTTCAGCAATTCTAGACCCCGTAGCGCAAAACAAAGACCACCATTAGACTCCCCGCGACGAGCTGCATCGAATCAATACCCCTTTTTGAAAAACTGTCAACTTCAAAATTTGACCTTTTTTGACCTTACCTTGACCTGACCTTGACCTGATCTTCACCACAAAGTGACCTAAGCCGTACCTGATAGTCTTATAACCAACACCATTGAGTTGGAAATGAAAAATTGGCCATAAAACATGCATCGCACAACCTTAGTACCTAAAATTGGTTCATGTGACCTGACCTGTGACCTTTGGTGACCTGACCTGTGACCTGACCTGGTTTGGTCAGTGACCTCTAATAGCATTATGTGTACTACGCAACGGACGCCCTATCGGTGATTCTCGACAAAATGCGTTTTCCTCGGTGTTATAGCGCATTCCCTAGAAGACCCGTGAACGGTGATTTCATCTTTGACCTTACCTCTGACGTCATCAGTGACCCCGAGATCAATGAAATTTATTTTCCCTCGACAAATTTGACAGGCCTTTCGAACGCCGTTTTTAACCCTCGCGGGCCCGGGGGGGGGGCGTTTCCCCCCCCCCCTGGCGAATATTTGCGATAGCTCCCGAACGCTTAGGGATAGGAAAGCGAAACTTTCAGTACCTTTTCTCCCATAAATTTGACATCTTCTGAAGTAAAAAATTTGGACCTAGCCCCCTTGATGACGTCACAAGGCCCATTTTTCTAGACCCCTGCACGGCAAACTTCGGCGTCACAGACGCAAACTTCAAATAGCTGCTAAAAATAGAGTTTTAGAGATAAAGACAACTTACGAGCACGGTTGTGCAGCGTTTGACCTAGAGAAAAATAGAAAAATAGTTTTGGTGACCTGAGGTCAGAGGTCAGGTCAACGACCCCGAAATGTGGTTTTAGTTTTTCGCAAATAACTTCGACAAAAGTGGTCCTAGAGCTACGGCAGTGGTACCATCGCATTCGCCTTGTCAAGCCGCGTCGAATGATATATATTTTGTTCGGAAAAGGTCAAGTTTTATGTTGACCTCATGTGACCTCGAATGACCTCTGGTTGACCTTGACACATGAAAGGTCGTTTATGATGGATTTGTACCCGCTGATCACTAATCTGGCATCTATTTTCCTCTAAGCCTTCATTTAGAGCCTCCGGATGGCAAAATTGTCTTATTTATTATTACTAACTTGAATTAGTGAAATAGCCTCTAGCAGGGATACTCTTCAGTGACCTTGACCTCTGAGCAGCCTTGTATCGTAAGATGAACCACAAATAGGGAACTGATAAGCCTCAAAACATTTCAAAACATCTTGGAAGTTAGCACGCAAGATGTGCGAAAAAGTGCCAAGTTTGAGGTCAATTTTTAGCGTGACCTTGACCTTGACCTTTCGTTACGGTCCAAACTCCATAGACAAGCGGACATACGGTTTTACAAGAGTTAGGCGACGAAATACTCAGCTTAATTATTAAGTAATGGGCACCATTAGGTAGGCCATACAATTTTCTGTAGTACCGCATAGTCGCTGCAGTCAAAGGTGTTCTGGTTTTTATGCTACATGCCAAAGAATTTTTGCATGTAATCACCGGTGACACGACATATTTCTGCTTTATTGGGTTGGGCGGTGAAGTCGATGACGTGATCACAATGAAAATGGCTTAGTTTTGTAGAACATTGAATTCTGATTCCGGCACGACTCTCGCTAGTACATTTTTTATTATAAATAAACCATTAATTGCGGTACAAAGTCAAAACTAGCCCGAAACGGCGCCCGCAGCGGCCGTTAGCACAGCGGCCTTATGGTAAACAGGTTAGTTCACATTCCCGCCGCTATGCGAGTGGCGGCGGCGCCACCTGTCCTCATGTCCGCCTTGGACCGTAACGTCACTTTGAGCACATTTTCAGAATACTCAGATTCTCTTCTTTCGTTTGACACCCAATTTTGCCGGTTTGATGCCGTCTTCTAGAAGGCTTACTTTGAGATCACTACACATGTGCCGGTTTTTGCCTTTGACCTTGACCTCTGACCTTGAAAATTGACCTGAGGTCAAAAATTTTAGGTGCTTCAGAATCGTCTCGTAAGGACCTTTCGTTTGGTATCGCTTTTGTTTCCGTAGCTCCCTTATTTACGGAGTTAGACAGGGGGGGGCGAAAAACGCCCCCCCCGGGCTGCGGTGGTTGGGATTACCCCCCGGGCCCGGCCGGGTTAATTTTGCCGATCCGTCCAGTAGTTTCGGAGATACGAGGGGGGGGGGGGGCAAAAAATAGCCCCTCCCACCAGGTCGCGTTTTAAACAGACCCCACCAGGGCGTGGGCTAATTTTTCTCGCTCGTAGCGCTATTGGTTTGGTGTGCAGAAGGGGTGCCCGTCTTACCTACCCTGACCGTCTTACCCCACTTTCGCCTAATAGGTATATTAACCCGGCAGTTGCTGGGGTATTTCGCCACCCACCGTTTGCTGTGGGGGGGGGGGGGGCGTTAAACGCCCCCAGCCGATAACTCGAGAACCAATAGGCACAGCGAAACGCACGAGGCGGCAAACGAAAGAACGCGACGAGACGCTTCAGATGAGTACTTTAAAGTTAAATTTTGAGGTCACAGGTCGGGTCAAGGTCAGGTCAAACACCTGAAATCGGGCTTTCAGTAGCATGGACTTCGGGACTTCGCAATGGGCGCCTCTCGTTATAAACTCTGTCAAAACGGTGCACAATCCATCATATAAGGCCTACAAGAGTGTCAGCTCCATGTAGGGGTCAGTCAAGCATAGGTCAGGGTCAAGGTCAGGTCAACCGGGTAGGCACATATCCCCGAAAATCAAAACTGATATTCGCAGCCTGTGACACATGTTTTATGGGTACTTCGGGGCGTAGAACACGATGGTGACATTTATTTTATCATATGTGTACGTGTTTGGCTAAAAAAAATCAATTCAAGAAATGCATGTATCATGGTCGTGAAGTAGTCACGAGAAATTGCCGAGATTCAGTTCAAGATTTTGTAAAATTCGGAACTGTTATCAATAATCGAAGATAGCCATTTGATTGCTCATGGCATTGGCAGTCTAATAAGGTTTACGGTATGTCTGTATGTCTATTCTGTGATTTTATATGATTTTTTGAACATGTGCCGTTTTTGGTCGAAAACTCAGAAATTATGACATTACTAAAACCTCCATATCTCAAAAATTTTCCGACCGATTTTTTTTAAACTTTTTCACAATAATCTTCAATCGATTCTCTACAGGTACCCAAAATTTGGCGCGCCTGCGGCGCGCCGTTTTTATGCTATGTCCCGGCGAAAAAAGTGGGAGCGTTTAACGCCCCCCCCCAGCAACTCGCGGGTTAACAATCATATAGATGAGGGCTAATTTTACCTTGCAACTGCTTCGAGTAGTGTAATTCGTTAAACTGCCCATTTGATTTTACCCTTATACCTTTACTGTTTATAACGCATGTGCTGAGCTGAGGGAATGTCGCAGTTACTTATGTTGTTAACCCGCGCGGGGCTGGGGGGGGGGGTAAATTTTACCCCCCCTCGCGAATTTTTGCGATATCTCAAAAACGGCGGCGCGCAGCGCCGCCAAACTTTCAGTACCTTTTCTTACATCAATTTGACACCTTCCCTGAAAATTTGAGCGAAATCCGTCGGAAAATGTTTGAGAAATTGACGTTTTAGTGACGTCATGTTCGCCATTTTCGCCTCAAAAACGGCAAAAGTTCAAACGCCGCTAACATCTTCATTTTTAAAGGAATCAAGACGTAACAAAAAAGGTTATACGTAATTTTACTTTGTCTATCAAATGGCTATCTCGGTTTTTTTAAAAATTTTGGATTTTGGCCTAAATTTTTTCAAAAAACTGATTTTTTTGGGAAAATCATTATAAAATCCAAAATTTTGAGTCTATCGAAAAAACCGGAATATATGTCAGAGAAGTGGTCTATGTGCACCTACATACCAAATTTTAGAAGAATCGGTTCAAAAATGTGGGAGTTATTCAAAATTTTATGACGTCACGACACACAAAATTTTTGAAAAATGACTTTTTTGGAAGTTCTAGACCTCGTACGGAAACAAAAATAGCACCATTCGATTCGCCGTGAAAAACTGCATCAGATAGACACCTTTTTAGGCCTCAACAACCAACTTCAAAATTTGACCTCACTTGACCTGACCTTGACCTGACCTCGACCTGAAATTTATCCAGAGGTGGTCCATATCACTTATTGAGTGTGCCTATTGAATTCTATGAGTAAAATGACCCATAAAACATGTGTCGCACATGCCCTTTTCTATATTTTGTTTTTTGGTGACCTGACCTGACCTGACCTGACCTTGACCTTGACCTCTGAATGATATTGTATGCAACTAATATTGTCTTGGTAGCCTAAGAACACGTTTTGGGCGATCAGTCTCAGTCCATGACTCCATTCTTCGGCAACTACGGTGCAAGGCCGATACTGTAGAAACTTGCAATTTGTACCCTTGACCTGACCTTGACCTTGACCTCAAACTTTAAATTAAGTACATGTTTTTAGTAGTTCGTGATGAGAGCTTTCGATTGGCGTTTGAATTTTCCAAATCGGACCATTAGTTCGGGAGATAACAGGGGGGGTAAAATTTACCCCCCCCCAGCCCCGCGCGTTCGGCTGGAGACCCCAGCCCCGCGCGGGTTAATATTCACACATTTGCATAATGATAGGTGGTGCTAAATATCGCTCTCAAGCCTCTCGCTGTGTCTGTGCTGGCTGTGTCAGTGTCTGACATTCTGGTGTCAGTGGTGCAGCAGGGAGCTGGCGGCAGCTCTGTCCGACTCCAGTCAGCTGACACAGCTCTGTACGACAGGGCCGGAGGTGACGGAGCCGAGCTGGCCGGGATGGGACGAGGATGGTGTTCTGTCAGTGTCGCTCCTGGGGGTGGCTGCCGACACCATCAGTCACCTGGCTGACCTGGGACGGACGGTCACAGTACTGGAGATATACGGTGAGCAGCGGCAGCACGGACAGGCCGCTGATATACCAGCTCAGCGAATGGCGGACACCGAGTAACGGTGTGCCGTTGTCGCACCTCATGGAGACAGGTGTGATTACGAGCGAGCGAGCGCAGCGAGCGAAGTGAGTCTTTTCAATATAACGGAAAAATCTCAGCATGAGCGGCCAGGCCCGGCCCGGCCTGTAACGCTTTTGAGAGGCCTATATCTCAGCAACCGCTGGACCGATTGAACTGCGGTCTTTTTTGTTGGGTAGCCCATCCCTTCTACCCCGTAATTGACTACTTTTGATACATCTCAGTGACCGTCGTGGCACGTGCCACGTGAAAAGTCAAGGGTGTTCAAGCTGTTTTGCAAAAGTAGTGATTTTGAGAGGCTCATATCTCAGCAGCCGCTTGGGCGATTGACTTGCGGTAATTTTTGTAGGGTAGCAGCATCCCATCTACCCAAAATAGGATACTCTCGATGCATGTGGGTCACCCCCAGTGCACGTGCAAAATACAACAATAAGAGGTGCCAAATTTGTTCCCATATCAGTAACTCGGTATTTACTGGGGCGATTACGCTGAAACTTGGCATACAGGTAGGCACCCACCAGGCAATGCATTCCCATGTGCTGCGGTTAGGGTGCTACTGCACGTGCGCACGTGCAGGGGGCGTTTCCAGATCTCGAGAACGGCTGGGCCGATTGCGCTCAAATTTGGTACACGGTTGGGGACCAGTTAGTAGGGTGCCGTGCAAAAGTCATTTTGGACCCCGTTTGCACGTGCGCACGTGCAGAATGCCGCTTCCAGATCTCAGGAACGGCTGGGCCGATTGCGTTCAAAGTTGGCACACCGCTAGCGACCAGTTAGAAGGGTGCTTTGCGCAAGCCCGTTGGAAGCACCCTCTCGCCCTTCCGCACGTGCAGGGCTCACTATCTTGCTCGCTCGTTCTTCGCCCAAAAGGCGTTTTACTGGTACATAGCCAATGTGCTTTGTGAAATAATGAAGCAGACTGAGCTCAAAAATGGAGGAGGACTGTTCAATCAGTGACATATTCCTTCAGAGTTAGTTGATCATACTCATAACAATTGTGTTGCACTGTTAAATGAAGTTTAATGCATTTGCTTAACCCTTGCGGGCCCGGGGGGCGTATTCGCCAATAGTATTACACGAATCGGCCCGACCAATAGCGTGCCTCTTGAGTGACGTCAGCGTGGCGTCATCCGTTCGGTCCTCGCCCTTGGTGGAGTCTATTGAAGCTAAGTTTTAAATTAACGACATTTAAACTCCGTCGTACGTGTCGCCGCCGTGGCGCAGTGGTTAGAGTATCGGAATCGTGATATGTAGGTAGATGGTTCGAATCCACTCGGCGACATCAATTTTCGTGTTATCTGTCTTTGTGCGTTTTTTTGGATACATTTGCAACGGCGTGCACCTAAGAAATCAGAGGTAAGCATTCTTCAAATGAATATGTTGCATACCTAAGAGAAATATTTGCAGTCAAACCGATTGGTTCGGTTTCGGTATTTTCCAATGGTTTTTGTTTGAATTTGGTTTGGTATCGGTGTTCTGATTTTCTGTGATTGACAATTGACATCACTGATGCATAGTGCATACTATGCGAACGTAGCCAATGGAAAGACAAATGGTGCTGGGCGATGACCATTGATCAATATTTCTCACTGCCAATGGGTGATAGCACCGAGCACGCAGCTCCTGCTGGATATGACAGGGGTGGCGCTGACCTTTTGAAAGTAGGTGGCACTTGGCAAGGTAAAGTACCTAAAAGTAGCGAAAACTAAGCAAAAAATCGCACGCTGGTTAGCATGCAATTAGATAGTTTTCATGTAAGAATCACCATGCACAAAAAAGTTGGGCATAGCTGTTAGCGTAATCAGGGGACGAGATTATCAGTTTCCAGCCGTCAAAGGCGTCATCTATAGGAGCTATGCCTTAACTATAACTTTAACATTTCTGCCACCAGGGGATCGACAGTATCGACAGTACCGTAACACAATTGGTATTTCAGGTACAGACTGCAACTGCAGTTCTTTTGCAACTTATTCCTTAATCAGATGAATACTTGTCATAGATTTATTGGGCGTACGATATTGGCGTGCGAACTTAAGGCCTAGGGGCCAAAAATGCGTGTCTAAAACCGACTTCTTAGAAAAAAAAACCGCTAAAGCAGGAATCGATCCATCGCCCTTTCGCTCATCACACCGAGACTCTAACCACTCGGCTACGACGACACACCGTCAATTGAATTGCCATATACAATTAAAAAAGTCTCAACTCAAATCTGGCCTCAATGCATGATTGTCACGTCGGATGGCTATGACGTCGCACTAGAGATGTCGCTAGTTGGTGCGCCGATTCGTGTAATACTATTGGCGAATACGCGCCCGGGGGGGGGGGGCGTTTTTCGCCCCCCCCCCCTGGCGAATATTTGCGATAGCTCCCGAACGCTTAGGGATAGGCAAGCGAAACTTTCAGTACCTTTTCTCCCATCAATTTGACATCTTCTGAAGTAAAAATTTTTGACCTAGTCCCCTTGATGACGTCACAAGGTCGATTTTTCTAGACCCCTGCAATGCAAACTTCGGCGTCACAGACGCGAACTTCAAATAGCTGCTAAGAATAGAGTTTTAGAGATAAAGACAAATTACGAGCACGGTTGTGTAGCGTTTGACCTAGAGAAAAATAGAAAAATAGTTTTGGTGACCTGAGGTCAGAGGTCAGGTCAACGACCCCGAAATGTGGTTTTAGTTTTTCGCAAATAACTTCGACAAAAATGTTCCTAGAGCTACGGCAGTGGTACCATCGCATTCGCCGCGTCAAGCCGCGTCGAATGATGTATATTTTGTTTGGAAAAGGTCAAATTTTATGTTGACCTCATGTGACCTCGAATGACCTTTGGTTGACCTTGACACATGAAAGGTCGTTTATGAGGGATTTGTACCCGCTGATCACGAATCTGGCATCCATTTTCCTCTAAGCCTTCATTTAGAGCTTCCGGATGGCAAAATTGTCTTATTTATTATTACTAACTTGAATTACTGAAATAGCCTCTAGCAAGGATACTCTTCTGTGACCTTGACCTTTGAGCAGCCTTGTATCGTAAGATGAACCACAAATAGGGAACTGATAAGCCTCCAAACATTTCAAAACGTCTTGGAAGTTAGCACGCCAGATGTACGAAAAAGTGCAAAGTTTGAGGTCAATTGTGAGCGTGACCTTGACCTTGACCTTTGATTTTGAGCACATATTCGGAATCCTCAGATTCTCTTCTTTCGTTTGATACCCAATGTTGCCGGTTTGATGCATCCTGCCATCCTCTAGAAGGCTTACTTTGAGATCACTACACATGTGCCGGTTTTTGCCTTTGACCTTGACCTCTGACCTTGAAAATTGACCTGAGGTCAAAAATTTTAGGTGCTTTAGAATCGTCTCGTAAGAACCTTTCGTTTGGTATCGCTTTTGTTTCCGTAGCTCCCTTATTTACAGAGTAAGACAGGGGGGGGGGCGAAAAACGCCTCCCCCGGGCTGCGGTGGTTGGGATTACCCCCCGGGCCCGGCCGGGTTAACTGATTGCCAGCATATATCATATAATAACACTGTTTTACCATTGTCGACTGTGTCCATAAAACCATGTGAATTATTAGGTGTTGTTTCGTTTTGTCATATAGGTATCCACATGTATTACAGCCAACTGATCCTATCTGTATGTGTGTCTGTGTCTTTTCCAGACTGTCCTGATCTCACGGCCGGCAGCCTGGAGCCCCTCACCAGGTGCCGTGGGCTGCAGCGGCTGTCAGTCACCGCCGCCGACCTCCCACTACTGAGGGGACAGCTGCCGGAGGGTCTGAGCTTCCTCAATGTCAGAGGTAAAATACCGCAGATTACACACGTAATGCCGGTGATTACGTGACAAAAGATCGTAAGACAAAAGATCGTATGGAAAAAGATCGTAGGAAGATGATCGTATGATAAAAATCGTATGTCGCAAAAGATCGTACGACTTAAGATCGTAAACAAAAGATCGTAAAGCAATTGATCGTATGGAAAAAGATCGTAGGAAAATGATCGTAAGATAAAGATCGTATGTCGGAAAAGATCTTACGACGAATGATCGTCGGAAAAGATCGTAAAGCAAATGATCGTATGAAAAAGATCGTAGAAAAATGATCGTAAGATAAAAATCGTATGTTGAAAAAGATCGTACGACTAAAGATCGTAAGCAAAAGATCGTAAAGCAAATGATCGTATTTAAAAAGATCCTAGAAAAATAATCGTAAGATAAAGATTGTATGGTGTAGGTAAAGTATCGTGCGACAAAAGTTAGTAAAGTAAATACTCGTATAGAATAATCTTGTAGGTAAATGATTGTAGGATAAAGAGCGTAAGTCGCAAAAAAAAATACGAAAAAAACAATCGAAAGCAAAAGATCGTAAAGCATTTGATCAAAAGTTTTGGAAGCTTCGGTTCCGATTTCGACTCTGTGCAAAATTTCACGGCGGCTCCGGCTTCGGTTCCTGCCACACTTCACTAAGTTAAAATATTATGTAACCATTAGGCTGCTCGTATAACGTGTTGTTATCTCAGAAAATATAATATGTAGGAAGCCGCGCAAGAACGCAACCGGCAGCTTTTGAACTGTTCTTTTGATAATGTTCATTAGAATTCACCTCTGGTCAATGGCTTAGGCTCCCGATGTCCAGAGGAGGGTCAAGTAATGGAAATATGACCGTTATTGACAAAAAAGGTTTTTCGTTAACAAATTTAGAACTACGAAAATTGTGGGACCGACTAAAGAGACGAGCATCCATTACTGAACTGGCCTCTAAGGGCCCTTACCAGCCTACCAGGGACAGGCTCTAGGCCCTAGCCCTATTCCTGGCGGGGGGGGGGGCTCAGGAGCCCCCCTGAGGTTTTTTGGTTATTTCTCCCAAACGCGGTGAGCTAGGAAGCTCAAATTTTCTGACTTTTCCTAAAAGGCTTCTTCGCAACATGTCTGAAAATTTTGAGTTGATCTGACCTCAGGTCAGGTCACCAGAGGCGGTTTGGTGACCCTACCTCAGAAAAGTTTGCAATCACGCCAGAGCTAGAGTTTTTGACCGATCAATTTCTTCTCTTCAGGCTTTAGTTAGGGTACCAGTATGTGCAATTTGTATATCTCAGAATTTTCATATCTGTGACCTGAGGTCAGGTGTCAGACTCGTGACCTTTACATTGCAAGCCTATGGGAAAATATTGAAACGCCTCCTGCTTCGTGTAAACGAGTCAAAACCACCCAATTCTTTCAGTATTATGGAAGATTATCTCATCGGTGATGATCCTGGTGCCGCTAATTGACAGGGGCACCGGCAAAGGTCATCTGAGATCCTATGACGTCATAAATCATTTTACTGTCAATAAATCACGACATGATGGTGCTAAAGACTTGCAAGTGGTACCAAACTGCTCGCCTGGTCAAGGCGCGTCGTTTGGTATGCAGCATGACCATACCCCACAACCTCATTGATGAATGACCTGACCTTGACGTCAGGTCAAATTTCAAATTGACCTGTGAAGGTCATCACATACTTATTTCGCATCGCCTTGAAGAGAGCAACAAAAAATGTATTGGTTTTATGTCTCTATGTTTCTTAGTTTAAAAGTTATATAGGTAATTAATTCCAAAACATTTTATCGTTGATGACCTCTGGTGACCTCAATATTGACCTGACCTGAAAATGTTTTATGTAAAAGTTGTAGATCTTTAAACGACCTATCAAACGCCGTTCGCCGTTTGTCGCTGCGATGTGTAGTTTTTGTGATCTGAAGGGGGGCCGAATCGCCCCCCCCCCCCCGCCAGTTTCTTGTTCCGGCGGAGCCCGCCAGGAATAGGGCTAGGGGCCCCACACCCGCCTGTAATGGTCCCACGCCAATTTCTCCGAGAGCCCCCATAACGGCGACCGTGAGGGCTCTCACCGGCGCCTCTGAGGGCCCACACCGGTCTCGAATGTCCCTAACACGAGCCCGAGGGGATCTGTGGCTCCAGTTGGCCGTCAGGGTCCACACTGAACATATTTCGACTCAGAAGGGTTCCGCAGGGCTCTTAGGATCGCCTCATGGGCCCCTTTGTGTGCTGGTCCACGAGCTACAGCGCATTAAAGAAGTTATCGAACTAACAAAAACTCCGGAAAACCCTGGAGCCGATTTAGAGGGTGGGTGTTTAAACACCCCCCCCCCCCCTCAGCAGGGCGTGGAATTCCAGGAGCCTAAAGGGATGGAAGCAGGTTTGACTTTGAATTTCAATTAGTCTTATCTGATTTAGTCTTTTGGTGGTCTGTGAACTGCGCGAGTAAACATTGCGATTGTGGACATTTCTTCAGGCTGGTCTGAATCTATTCTTTTTCACAGCACACAGTTGCTGAATATTTAACAGTTAGGTGTCGTTGAGCCATTTAAGCTCTAACACAAGATCAATGTATGGTCGAGCTTAGCCCGCGCCGTACTTAGGGGGGGGGAGGCATTTTACGTCCCCTCCTCAGGATTTTCGCGAATATCTCAAAAACGTGGTTGGCACACCTTTTGATACATCTTTTCTGCACCTAACACACTGAATCGGAAAATTGCACCCATGACCCATCTTTTTGCCTCTGAAGTCATCTCAGGTCATCAAAGGCCCCCAGCAGTTTTGTAGCTATAACTTTTGAGAGACGTACTAGGGCGGTCGAATCGCATCAGATGTGTTAAGCTCGACGATACGGATTGATTGATATGCAACATATAACCCTTTCCGGTCAGGTCATGACCTTGACCAGGGCCTCGTTTCATAAAACTCTGCCGTAACCTACACCTTTCCGTAATTCACACCCTTTCAAACTACGGAGCGCAAATAAATCCGTTTCACAAAGCCACAACTGGAATTGTTTACACCTCCGTAACTAAGCACATTTGCGTAGTAACCGTAATTTATCAAGCGTCCTACAAATTACAATTTCATGTCAACACTTATTTTTTACGATAATTTATAAAACAATTATGTTGAATTTAAATCTTAAAAATTATGTATGAATAAACAAAATTGATATTGATGACCATCCTTTATTAAAACAATATATCAAAAACAGCAGAAAGCCAGCTAAGCAGAAGTGCCTAACTACGAAAGTGGCGCGGCGCGGCGAATAAACAAAATTCCGATAGTGGCCACAAAAAGCGACTGGTAAAGAAGATTTGCAGTTTCTTTTTCTCATTCTGGCTGTTCTTTCTTCCTCATCGGGATCAACATTATAAAATATATTAAAAATTAGCTTCGAATCTTCACATTAATTCAAAATCACGCAACATTTTTGTGCGTAGTTTACACCACTGATATCAAGAGCTTGATAAAATATTTGGCGTTAATTACGTCGTTTTATGAAACCCAAATGGCATCAATTGGTCCGGAATCGAGCATTTGCCGTAAATGAAGCTCCGTACTTTCGATGGCGTGAATTACTCCGGTCTCCGACTTTATGAAACCGAATTGGCATCAAATACGCCAAATCTGGCATAATTGACGGAACGCCGTAAGTAATTCCTTTTATGAAACGAGGCCCAGATGTCAAATTTTCAAAATGACCTTTCAAGGTCAAATAATAGTTTATTCAACGCGTCTCGAGAAGAGAAACACGATGCTGGCAAAATGACGCAACTCTCTCGAGTCAAAACGTATTACAGAAAAAAATCGTAAACAAGTTTTTCTTAGTGTTTGCCCTCTGGAGGCTAAACCGTTGAATTGAGGTCCAATCTGAAGACAATATTCAGAAAGGGCCTTAACCCTCGCCCATGTAGGGGGGGGGGGGGGTTGGTGCAAACCAGGGGTTTTTCTTAGCTACACGCCGAACCGTTTCAGATAGCCTGCTCAAATTTTCAGTACCCCCTGGGGCATCCTTTGCGCAACTTTTGGTATTTTTTTTTGTCAAGGTCATGTCAGGTCACGGAGTTATGACGTCATAAAGGGAACAACCTCCGGCCAGATTTACGCTAAATTGGAGATTGCTTCACATTGGTATAAATGCCGACTGACCTGACACACTGATGGATTGTTTCAGAATCACAACTGGCTGATTTGACATTGGCACAATGTCCGTTGACCTTTTGAAGGTTATTAAAGGTCAAGGTAAGGTCAGTGACCTCGGTTGACCTGTAATGACTTCTTGGACTTGTATGCCTTTTTGGGGTATTTTGATGCCCTGTGTTGTGATTACTGATAAAAGTGGACTGTATTTGTTACATTTACGTCTTTCGATCAGAACGATGGTGACGACACCAACCGAACGATTTACCTTGATTTTCAAATAGCAAGAAATTAACTCAAGTGGATCTGTATTGCATACAACTGAGCAAACAGATATGACGAGGCTCACACTATGCCTAATTGAAGCGACCCAAACGAGGCAAACTAAACCAGCGGACCTTACATCGAGATCAATACAACGTAATATTCAAGTGGGGACATTGATAGTTTAACCCGGCCGGGCCCGGGGGGTAATCCCAGAGGTCAAAAAAACTTAATTTGTGTCACCTACAAAATTTTTTCAACCCCCTTTGTGTCCCCTGCCCCCAGAGGCCGGATAAGTGTTGCACTAGGGTGATAAAATTGGGAAAAAAATCTAGGCTTTATCAGGCCAGTGTTAATGTTAGTGTCGCCAATGTTAAAACCTGGATAATGTATTATTACAGTGTCCCAAAATTTGTTGATTTGGGTGGGAAATACTGAGATTCATTTGCCACTCTCACCACCAATTTCTAAGAGCAATTAACCACTCTCAGCCAAGAACACCTTGTTACCTCAAAAGGCAGTTCAGGTGTGGTGGACTTAAACAGGTGGACAGGTATGGTGGACTGAGTTGTGTGG